CGGCTTTTTTTTTTTTTTTTTTTTTTTAAACTAAAATTTTAAATACTAGCAAATGAAAGCCCTTTTTCTTCCTAAAAGTCTTCATAGTTTAGAAAATTATTTAATTAAAATATAAGCTCCAAATTACTTACTCTAAAACTAATGTCAGCTCTAATTCTTCGTCTCTCCTCTTCTGTTAAGTGTGGTGCCATTCTGTCAATGTTTTCATCAATGTATAAACTATCATTTTCATCGAAAATCATAAAAACGAGAATGAAATCTCGGTCCACATTTCTAGGTCTGTCATACATATCTAAAGTGCCTGTAAATATGAAGTAATAAAAATGTTGTAATGCATCTTTTCAAAAGTAAATTGAAAAACAATACAAAAGACATATATTGTTTAAATTCTGACTTCAAAGTTTTCTTTTTTACAAAAAATGAAGGTTAATATTTATAAATGTTTAAAAAAAACACTTTTTTAAGATTAGATAATATTATTTTTATAATATCTTGATTTTTCACTAAACATCCTCGTGTTTCTTTTATAAATAAAAAATGAAAATACAAATATGTTATAAAATTATTTGAGTTTATTAAAAAAGCTCAAAAGTAATTAACCAAATGTTTTTTTCAAAGAATTCTAATGTTTTCAAAGAATTCTATAACACTATTAAAAACTGTTGTATTCAATCATATGATAAAAATTAATTGAAAGCTTTATGAAAGTTTAAAAAATTGAAAGTTGAATGCGTAAGTGCATCATAAGAAGGGTAAATCGGGAAAAGGGATAAAAAAAGAATATTAGCCTTTTTTGTGTTGTTTTATTATAAAGCGCGCACTTTTCTTTACACGGTTTTCCAAAGCTTTTTTGCCTAGGAAAAAAACACGCAGTTTAAGTGCCTTACACTTGAAGCAAAGCTATAATTATGAATTAAATATAATATACTGCCGTAAAAAATTATTTGAGCTTCAGAAGGTATAAATAACTAAAATATTTTAAAAGTTACGAAACTTCTTTAAAAATCGCCAATTTGGCGACATTTCATCACCTACATGAAAATTGTCAAAATTAAAGCATTAGTTTTACTTTTTGCAATTTTTTTATGAGCCCAGATAATACAGCATTGAAGTAAGTTTTTAAATCTTAAATAATTAGACCTCATACACTTTTCATTTCTTCAAAATTGTGTTTTTTTTCCAGATTGGCATGCTGCTTCATTTTCAAAATAAGCATAGACAGCACTGGATAAAGATAGGCTAAACTTGACCTAACAGTAATGAATAAATCTTACAAACTCACATCATTTAGGAAAATAGCACATTATTTCCAAAAAAAGCATCATTTCATGCAAATATAGAGCCTTTAAAAAACACCCTTAAATCTTTTAATTTATAGAATTAAATAATTGCTTGATTCTGACCTGGTCTACAGACGATGAGTGGCCCAAGAAGACCAGCATGAATATCAGTATCAGCATTCCTGTGAGAATGGTACATCCATGTGAGACAATCTGGATCAGTAGGACTAGGACCATCTTCAGGAATGAAGAACCAGTGGTAAGAATGTCGTCCATTTGGTGGTACCATATCATCCACTTTATCCTGTGGTCCAGTACCATCCTCATAAAGAGCTCCTAAAAATAAAATTCTGTTAGTAATTTCTCATTTATTATTGACATTAAATGTTGTCTGGGTATTACTAACATGAAACAATATCTTACTAAACGTTCAACAAAAATAACTTAATGACGCAATGTTTACTGCTCTGTTTAATTACCGATATTTAAAGCAATTTGATTAAAATAAAATTATGAATTCTTTTTTAATGGTAAAGTTCCATTAAATATATTATTTATGATAAAAAATATTATTCATGACCGTGCATGGAATAAAAAGGAACATTTTTCTGTAATTCTTTTATTCAAATCACAAATGAAATTATAGTAAAATTTTTTTTAATATCTTTTATTGTATTTATGGAGTATAATAAATTAAGTAAGCATATAGCGCTATTTTTTTTAAATTACTTTCAAAAATAAATTTAAAAAAAAATAGAAATGGTAATTAAAACTATTTTTAATAGTTCAAAAATATTATTTGCTACACTTTATAAAATGTAAACGTAAAAAAAAAAGATTTCAAATCCTCCTTATATGAAAATTTTTAGTTTAAATTAAATAATAAATTTTCAATAATAAATTAAGACTTAATAAATATCAAAATCTATTAATTTATCACGCATAGTTTCTTTTCTCAGAAATAACATTGAGAAAAAAGTAAGACCAAAACTAAAAAATATGGTAAAATTTACAGTGTTTCTGGCTCTATGGGAACATTGAAAAGCTCGTTGATTTTTAAAGAATAGATTTGTTAAGGATTTTTTTGAAATTAACAATAAACTATGGTTTCATAATAGATTGAAAAATTTGGTAAATATGGTAAAATTTGATCATTATATCATGCTACCTTAGAGCATGGCATAAAAACCCATTTATTCAGTTAAATTTATTTTTAAGTTGTGTACTTTTTACTAAATGTACAGTAATGAGCCATTACTATATATGTACGGCAAAATTACTAAATGAATAATATAAATACAGTACATTTTGGCTTTATTAATCAGAATTATGATTTTTTACCAGAAATGTTCTTAGCATACAGCACTGTAATTTTACCAGAATGTTTTTTTCCGTAAAGAATAATTACTTACTCAAGGTTAAAAAATGTAAGTAGTGTCTGAAAACTATTCGCATTTAAATAATAATAATTTAATAACTTTACATTTTTATTAAAAAAAGGGTGAAAAAATCAAAATATTTATAGGCTTTATCAGGCGTAAAAGTTTATTATCCAAGAACAATGATTCAGATGTTAGTTAGACTGCAGCTTATTGTTATTAATTTTCTATAGCACAATCGCTAGTTAGTTGACCTACATATAAATAATTAGTAACACGTGTTTTTTAATCTTTTTATCATTAAAAGAAATAATTCAGTCTTCTTTACGTTTAATTCTTTTAACAATTATATTTAAAAAGTTTTTACTTCACTCTGCTTATTGCAATAAACTTTAACAAGACTCTGGGCTAATTGTAAATTGTTTGAAACAAAGGAATTTAATTGGCAATGAATGATATATTTTCTAATTAGCCTAAGTCTACGTGCATTTATTGCAATAAGTCTGAAAGAGAAACGAAAGCAGATTACAAAGAGGCGAAATTTTCAGTTAGTTGCACGACGAGGTGGATATATATATATATANGGATATATATATATATATATATATATATATATATATGTAACTGTTATAACCAAAAAAAGTATCCTATGAATAATTGGGGTATGCCATTAGAAGTCCTCCATTTAAGTTCTTTTTTGAATAAAAACTCAGTTGATGAGTAAAAAATAAGAACAGAGCATTGAACTTTTTTTTTAAGATTGAATTGCTTAGTTGAAATGCTAAAAATTATTAATGCCGTAAAGTATTATTTGTGTTACAGTATTAAACGTAAGGGAAATTTTTTATACTATTTTTCTTCATAAAATTCATTTCTAAATTTAAATTATAAATTAGAAATAATATTGTAAACATTAATTTCTAAATTTATTAGCAGTTCAAAAAATTAAAAATATTAAAAACGAAATATATAGGTCACATTATTTGTATTCTGTTATGTAAGTTACCTTCCCTTTGTTGAGATAAGTGAAGTATGACAGTTTTAACAATTGAATGAATCAATGAATAATAAAATAAGAATGAGTCTTTTTTCCTAACATGTCTATTGAATTGTGAATGATGAATTCATGTTGTTAAGTCTTAGCCTCGGGTAAATTATTAGGTATTTCTCAATTTGAAACACTTCGTGTTGATTTTAAATAGAAATAGCTTATAAAATATGTGTTTAATATTTCCCCAATTCCTATTAGGAAATTAAATGATTAAAGTTATATTTTGATTGTATAAATACATTACCAAAGGTCTGATTGATCGATTAAAAACAAATGGAATTCGAAACTTTGAAATGCAATTTAAAAATATTAATGTTAGACTTTTTTTTTGTTTTACATACCATTAACTACGACAATTAATGACAATGAAACATCGATAGAAGATTCATCATAGTATCGCGATTTAACCACTGAGAGACGTTTATATTGAATCTGTTTCACTGTAACATATCATACATGAATTGTAACTGTTAATGCTGTTCTGAATATACTTGAGTGTCAACCAAAATAAAGGAACTATAAGAGAAGTTTGCTACTTTGTAAGAGATATTTGCAATATGTATTCTATTTTATAAGACATCACCTAATGCAATATTTATATAATGTAATATATGTAATAACATATCAATCAATTGACTTTAGCCAATGAGAGTCATTGATATGGAATCTTTCCCTCTGTAACCTATCACGCATGAATTATAGCTGCTACAGCTGTTCTGAATGCACTAGACTCTAGGGAGTCAATCAAAGGAAGACTTTGATATTGAGTCTGTTTTTCTGTAACCCATCAGACATAAGTTGTAACTGTTACAGCTGTTCTGAATGCATTAGAGAGTCAATCAAAGGAAGGCTTTGATATTGAGTCTGTTTCTCTGTAACCCATCAGACAGGCATTGTAACTGTTACAGCTGTTCTGAATGCACTAGAGAGTCAATCAAAGGAAGACTTTGATATTGAGTCTGTTTCTCTGTAACCCATCAGACAGGAATTGTAACTGTTACAGCTGTTCTGAATGCACTAGAGAGTCAATCAAAGGAAGACTTTGATATTGAGTCTGTTTCTTTGTAACCCATCAGACATGAATTATAACTGTTACAGCTGTTCTGAATGCACTAGAGAATCAATCAAAAGACTAGCGAGGAAGTCTGCTATTTTCTAAGAGATATTTGCAACATTTGGAGTTTTATAACAGTACAAATAATACAAGAGAGTCAATCAGGGGAAGCAAAATAATAAAACATATTAAGACTGATATCTGATATTTTGTAAGAGGTATTTGCAACATTTGTTATTTGGCAACATATTAAATAATACAAGAGAGTCAATCTAGAGGGAAAAAAACTAATAAAATTTATTAAGGCCAATATCCTCTACTTTTCCAAAAATATTTATAGCATGTTAAATAAATCAAGAGAGTCAATCAAGAGAAAGAAACGAATAAAATATATTAAAGCTGATATTCTGTAAAATATATTTGTAACATTATGTTGTTTTGCAATACAATAATCGAAGATAGTAAGTCAAAGAGAAAGAAACTAATTAAATATATTAAGGCCAATATCTGCTATTTTAAAGGAGATGCACTGTAAAAAAATTCCTCATCAAATTACGGTAAAAAGTACCGGCTGGTACTTTTCAGGGTGCTGGTACTTTTTACCATAAAATTCACTTTTACCGGAACATGTAACAGAGCAAAAATCTGTGGTACTGTGGTAGTGTAATTAAGTAATAGCTACTAAACAATCATTGAATCACTCTTAATTAAGTAAATATTACTGTAAAAATTACGGTATAATATTTTACAGTAAAAATAAATTTTACGATAAAATTGATTTAACAGATGAGGAACTAAAAGTGCCAGTATTTTATACCTTAATTTGAACCAGAGTTTTCAATTGTAACATATGTTACTTTGTTCGTAAACACTATAAAATGCTATTTAAAAACGTCTGTAAAGCTAAAAAATGTTTCAGCATTCAGCTTCCTTGATATCACATATTTTTCAAAGAGTACTGGTATTCAGGTGAAAGTCAATTTGTTTTGCGAAGAGAAAAGTAAATGGAGAATAATAAAAATGAGAATTTAAAAGCCATTGTGACATGGGTAATTTAGAAAGCAGTGTCGTGTGAAAAACATCGTTTTTTTTCAACCCAGCGAGCGTGTGGATTGCTACTTCTAACCGTAACTAGTATAGCTATGATTGAGCACGTGAGATTCTCTGACCGTTTTGTGCATCAATATATGCCACATTACCTAAGAATGATTAAACTCGAATTAACCGATGCACTTGTGGCTAATGTGCTAACGCACTTTGGCTAAATGATTTTCAAGAATTTAAGAATCAGTATTTTCTATTTCATCATGTTGAAATAGGGCGAATCACTGATGTGTTGAAAAAGTAGAATTCGCTTAATGCACCCACGCAAGTTATTTTGTGAAAGTTATTTCTTCAGTGTTAAGGTATTATTTTCATATATGTTTGTCTTTTTCTTAATATTTTGATTTTCTTCGAAATGTTTGTTTCAAAAGAGTTCTAAAAATTAATTACTGTTGAATCAAAGCAATCCGATGACCACGGGACCAGATATGTAAATGTAAAACGGAAAATCACTGGGGGAAAAAAGTATGGTGAAAACAACCAGAATATGGAAAAATTTACTGTATTTTTGTCTCTATGGGCACTCTAAAAAGCTCTGTAATGATTATAAAGGTGCTTTGGTAGTGATTTAGGTAAAATTGATAATAAAATATCGTTTGATAATATGGTATAAAATTTGGTAAATGGTGTAAAGTTTGGCAATTTTATCGTACACTTGGTGCCCTTTCCATGCTAAATATCACGAAGCTAATACTGTTTGAGTTAAAAATAATATGCTGTACAAGATTAGATAAGAATATGCAAGAAGGGGAAATATGTGTTACACTTGGTTACCTTTCCATGTTAAATAGCATAAATCTAATACTGTTTGAGTTAAGAATAATATTTTGCACAAAATTAGATAAGAAAATGTTAACTTCATATATTTCGAAAATATTTTGTTTGTTGTCAATTATTTGTGTAGCACTTAGTTCCATTTCTTTCACGAATAACAAATTTTTGTATTTATGCTTCTGTTTTGGGAGATAAGAATGAAGTTTTACTCAAGCTTCTAGACTTTTGAATGGTGAAAAGGTTTTATTTGATAAAAACATTTATATTACACGTGGGAATATTTTATTGTCAAATAGCTTATTAGGAAACTAGACTGAAGAAGAAACTTTTCATTGCAAATTCTGTTTTATTTCCATTGAAAGTGAGTTTATGTAATATTAAAAAAAACTATGGAGTTTAAAATACTGAAATTTTTTTCTCCAAATATCGAAATGCAAACAAATAATTGGAGAACCATCCCATAGCTCATTTCTACACTGTAAAATATTCCGAGTCAAATTGGTAAAAAAAAGTAACTTTTTACTGTAAAATCCATTTTTAGCGGAACATGTTACGGAACAAAAAATTGATGTATAGTAATTTTTACTGTAATAATTACGGCAAAATCACTGAATCCCTCTAATTAAACAAATATTACAGTAAAAATGACTGTATAATATTTGACGGTAAAAATGAATATTACGATAAAATGGATTTCACGGACAATGCACTCAAGTGCCGGAGTTTGATCCGCAATTTTTCACAGCGTAATTTTTCACAGTGTCCTAATTTGTTTGTATCCTATCATAATTTGTTTGCATTTTGATATCGTGAAATGTTTTCTTAGTAATCGAAACTTCATATCATACTATAGGTTTATTTGAACTAACTTTTTCTGTAATTTACATTTCGAATTACTTACGGAGGCGAAAAATAATTTTCCCTAAAGGGTTTCTCACGAGGTATAGCGTCCTCTAAATACGCCATCCGATTGACACGTTCGCTATCTTTCTTCCGCACTCGTGTGATACATTCGAATTACGGTATAATTTTACGATATGATAGAATTACGGTATTAAGTACCGGCACTTTAGATGCATCATCTGTAAAATCAGTTTTACCATAAAATAAATTTCACCGTAAAATCAATTTTTTTTCATAAAACAATTATTACCGTAAAATATTATACCGTAATTTTTACAGTAATATTTGTTTAATTATAGGGATTCAGTGATTTTATGGAAATTATTATTGTAAAAATTAAGGTAGGTCAGATTTTTTTATTCCATAATATGTTCCGGTAAAAAGGGATTTCATGGTAAAAAGTACCGGCACTCTGAGGTCCAGCATCTTTTTGTGTGATTTGATCCACATTTCTTTTACAGTGCTGTTTATTCACCATTTTTGTTTACAGTTTCCGGATTTTTAGTCACTAGTGTAATGTCTCGTGCTGGTGCGAGATCAGCCGTGAATGTGTTAAAATTACTATTACTACTTTTGATCTATGAGATAAATATCGTACCTTCGTGAACCTTGATGTATCGAGAACCGTGAGGATGCATAGAAAGAAGCATGGAGGCATTGTTCCAGAAGTGGACGATGGCCATATCACCTACTTCTCCTCTGATAGTTGGTCCGAGGATACCTTGCCATGGCTCACGGGCTTTCATTATAGTATAAGTCTCATCGGTGAATTCTCTGTAAATAGCTTTCTTGTACACCTTGCCCAGACGTAAGGGATTTTGACTGACTTGAAAATATCTCTTTGACAAGCTGAAAAGAGTTAAAAGATTTATTACATACAGTTTAAACCTGCACTCTTGAAATATATACAAACTACAGATTGTTTTGATTCTGCTGTTTCACACTTAGAGAGGAAGTAGAGCTCATCAAAATGATTAAGAATTGCATCGAAATCAATTGCCCGAAATATAATATTAAGTTACATGCCATTATCACGACAAGTTGTCAAATTGTGACAAGTTTTCAAGTTGTTTGCAAAATAAGTAAATTGCGATAAAAAGCTTACTTCTAAGCTAAATTTAACGCAATTATTGACAATTATTACTCAAAAACATTGAATTAACATAAAATTAAAATAATTCGATAAATAAGAGACAATTACAAACGCGCACGAGCAGAAAGTTCATAATAGGAAAACGAACCAAGTGTCGTGAGATGAAATTTCCTGCCAATTGCTAATTAATTCACAAATCTTATGACATCTCACCCTATCTTCCCTATCTTACTCTGTCTTCCCTATCTTACTCTATCTTCCCTATCTTACTCTATCTTACCCTACCTCCTCTTTGAGTTCTAAAGTAGTAGGATTTCTGCGGCATATCCGGAGTATCACTAGGAAATCAATCAGAAATTCTATTTGCCCTTAAAATTTCTTTATTATAATTGAATTTGATATAAAATTTTAATATTAAGATTAAATTTTAGTATTTTTTTGAAACATTAATAAAATCTGCTATTTCAAATTATTTTTAAAATTATAAATTGTTCAAAATTGTGATTTAGTCCTAGTATATGATAACCTTTGACAAGAAAAAAGCACAAATTAGATTTTTTTTTACTCAAGTATATATTTCATTTGGATATCATGGAAAAATATTAAAACTAGCTACCAAAATAAAATAAAAAATATTCTGAAACAATTTCTTCTACCGAAAAATGGATTTTATGTATCATAATGTTTAGAATTAAAAGGACACTCGAGTATCAAATTCTAAATGGTAAAAATAAAATCGTTTTTTAGAAGACAGTATCCAATTAGGTTAGGGAATAGTTCTTGAACACTTATTTTTTCTCGAGTATCGAATTTCAAATAAGCAAAAGAAAATTGATTTTTAGAAGACAGTATTAAATTAGGTTTGGGAAGAGTTTTTGAACACTTATTCTTAATGAACTTTTATAATTTGAAAAAAACCATCATTTTTTTCAACATTATTCAGCATTACATTATTTCTTACAAGATATATCTCAATTTTGGTACAATAGAAAATTTATTTAATTTATTTAAACTTTACTTTTATATATTTTAGAAATGATTCTAACAAATATATATATATATATATATTTATTTAATGCTTGTTTAGTAAACACTTGATGACATTTTTTTACTTATTTACGTCAAAACTGATATTTTCTGAAGTTTATTAATCATTCACTAAAGAGAATGAAACAATCTTTTTTTAATTCTGCAAGTCATATCATTTTTGAGCAATATCATATTCGTTTGTCATTTAGTTGCTTGTTGTGTGCGTCAATGTCTAGTCAAAGACAATTTATGGCTACAATGACTTGATGACTTGACTTGATGGCTACAATGATGAAGTCGAACCTTATATTTTTGTTTCGCAATTTATAGTAAAATGATACACCAAATACTATAAGAGGTTTAAATCACTATTTTATGTTTTTTTTTCTTCACAAAAGAGTAGTAACGTAAATGTTGATGACAAAAATACTTGCAGTGCTACCAAGGGCATTAAACTCTCGTAAATGTCAAAGTTGAATTTTTAAAGTCAAATCCCGTTTTAATTTTTTTGTCAACATCGATCAGGAAGAACAATCTCTGGCAATATTAATGAATCGTGGTGGGGGGGTACTATCTCACTAACTATACTTATTTGATATTGAACCATCGGATATCCATTTAGCATAATTGGTACAAAATTTTTGATGTGGCTAAAAAATTAAAAAAATTAAATAGGATGAAAGTTTCATCTCCAGATCAAAAGTCAACTAATATTTTTGGCACCGCGAAAGGAAAATTTGCACACTAGATGGCAAAACGTTGCCAGTAACGTTTACGATAATTTCATTGAATAAAATCTAAAAAATAAAATAATTTTGAAAATTTAATCAATATTAGTTTTTGATTAAACATAAAATGCAGTGTTCTCGCTGGATTAAGTTTAAGAAGTTCTCAAAAGTGTCTATCTCTTCATTATTAAAATAACAATAACTATTCCTTATACAACTGTTAATTAAATTCTGTAACCCTTTCTACAAAAAATATACATTTCATTTTGGAAAAAAAAGGTTGTTGATACCCTAAACTGATTAAAGAAAATTCTAATTCAAAAATGTTTTTCCGATACTTTTCTTTAAACAAAAAATTAAATACTTTCTGGATTGCATTTGGTGGAAAGTAGAAATTGATGGAACAAAAAAATGGATCTGGATATACTGAACCAAAAAAAAAATCATGAGAGAAACTTAAGATTAAACATACTCCAGAAAATCTAAAAAGACAAACAATAGAGATAAAGCCAATATCTGATACAGAAACAAAAAAGGAGATTCAAGTTAACTGTTCTTTCAAATAAAGAATTGAAAATTCTAAATTCTTTTTCTCAATCTGTTGTCAAACTCAAACACGATTTTGTTGGAATAGGTCAAAATAATTTTTCCGGTAAATCTAGATTTTTGAAGGAACAGAAAACCATACCTTACTGTATCAGGATTTCATAGGGTTGTTATCTTCCAATAAAATATAAAATATCCCCCGAATTATAAAAAGATTATATTAACAGACAGAATTTTCTTAAATAAACAAAAATAAACAAAAGTTATACTTTAAATTACAGTGTTTCAAAAATCACTTTTTTGGCAGTTATAGAAATATCATACAGCAATGATATTTATTTCTTCGGCAAATCCAACTTCTCTAAAAAAATAAGTCTTATCTGTATCAAAACTTAGCAGGAGTTAAGTACAAAATTTTTATTCCAATTTAGGATAAAGATATGTTTATTAATTGATATTTAATAAATAAACCTCACGAAACTTTGAAATATAACTTTCTAATAATTAGAAAAATATGAAATCCATTATAAATAATCTAAGTGAAAAACTTTCACGTCAACTGAAATCATTTTGTCCTCGAGTAAATCCTGTTTTGGTATCTGACAATCCCTGTTGTACCAGAAGTATGCAGATTATTTCCCCATAGAGCAACAAAGATTGACACTATGTGAAGAAGTTTAAATTGTTCGGCCCTCACACTGCGTTTTATTATATAAACATCAAGGAATTATTTAAAAAAAATGTGAATTAAATGTTATAGCGGCACACCCAATGTAGATTTCGATGGTGATATAGCACTGTGGGAATATTTCCTTAATTTTTATCACGAAAAATAAAAGAAACGCGACGTTCAAGGCAAGCAGCTTACCGTATTTTTCTTAAAAAGGGACGCAAATTTGCATTTAGAAATAAATTCAAATGAGATCAAGGTTAGCACCACCGTGTGAGAAAAATAAATCACAGCTTATTTATGAGTTTGAGTATTGATTTTAATAAGGGAACCTATTTAGATTAATTAAAAGTGCAGCAGACAAAAAACCATTAAAGCAAAACTTAATTATAAATAACTGAGCTTAGATGAATTGATGTAAATAGAACAAGACTACTTGTCTACTTGTTTTAGAAACAAGCAGTACGTCGAACTCGTTTAGATGTTAATAGTTAGCATGCAAAAACTAATCAATAGCTAGCGAAGTTTAAATATTTTGTAAATGTTTTAGAATGTTGCATTTTAGAATAATGGAGAGCATTTATCTTTTTAATCATTTGAAAAAGCAATGCGTCGTAACCGTTCAGTTGTTTATCGTTAACTTGAGGAAATAAGTATGTAACCATGTAATTTTAATAAATTTTTAAACGTTTTAAAATAAAACAGAACATTAAAATTTTTGATAATGAGAAAATGGTTCTGCGTCAGACTTGCTCAGTTGTTAGTGGTTAGCACAAACAAAAATAATTCTAAGACCAGTAATAATAACAACTTTTTGAATATTTTAAAATGTGACATTTAACAATAAAGTAGAGCGATTTTTTATGTATTTAAACAATATAACTGACAGAAACATATTGACATATATCTATAATAGAAATATGATTAAATAATCGTAACTGAAATTATTGCTGTTTGTTATTAATATTTCTAAGCGATTCGTACAAATTTTACAAATGCAAAATAGCTGCATTTAAAACAAATCTATAACTAGTTATAGTTATAGTTAGATTTTCTAATTAAATATAAAGACTGATATTAAGCAAAACTCTAAATGACAACCTGAAACATTAATTCGATTATATTTAATCACTGTTTTTATTAATTATATATTCCAAGTATTGTGCTGTTATTCTCCCTGGTAACTAATTCTACTTAGGAAAACACATTTTTACTAATATAAAACAATTTCTATTAAAAAAAAATATAAGTTTTTTTTTTGATAAAATATTATCTCTCCAGCAATCGTGTGTGTTTCATATTGCTTTGTTGTTTCATGCTGAATTTGAATAAAACTGTTTTTAACGATACTTATGAAAAAAGGAATGTTAAGTTTGTTTATGCTTTAATTTTTGAAAGCAAAGGATTTAAATTCAGTTCAAATATCAAACCAACTAGCCAATGTGTTGGTGCTGATTGGGGCTGGAAATTTCGATATCTTATTGATCAGTTCTGATTATATTTTAAAAATATTTCGTTCAGAAGCTTGCAAAGCATAAATTCTTTTAAAAAATAAGCATATAGAGCGCTAGGTTAGCATTTTCTTTACTTGGATGTTTTTTGTTCCATGAAATAATAAGCATGAAATATTTCCTATTTATTATATAAATAAATATAATGCTAAAAAACAATGTGTATATTTAAAATATTGCAATAACGAATTGCCATTTAATCTCAAAAATATACCCAAATTATATTGCTTATTTTTATGGCAATGTGTTTTTTGTGAAACTTAAATTGAGCA